CACACACACACACACACACACACACAAGTACATTCTTGCATGCATTTACAAATGCATGCACACAGCAACAGACTAACACAAACACCCACACATGCAATTCCATCTGTAAAACACAGCAGGATATTTGTTCAGTGTTTTATTGCACTTTTAGTACCCCTCAGTGTTTATATTCCATCTCCTGTTGTCCGTGCAGCCGTAAGGAATTAAAGCTGTTTGTCAGCCCCACACGGCGAAGGCAGGCTGTGCAATTTACTCTCATCAGTCTATATTTATCAGGGTCTGGAGGGTAGAAAAGTGCGCATGTATCATGTGTTTTACAGGGATGTGATCATGACTAGGAAAAAGAAGCAAACTCTGTCCCTCTGGAACTATCTGATATATCCGATGCTCTTACTGTGCAACATTGTGCACGCTATTTAGTGTTAGAGCTGAAATCTGTTTATCAGTTGATAAGTCAATTGACAGAATATGAATCAGCAACTTTTCATAAAGAATTAATCAATTCAGTCATTTCTCAGGCAAATGATTTGATGATTTGAGCTTTTGAATAGGATAATTCTGCAATTTTTCTTTTCCTTCAATTGCTGCAAATGATTTGAAGCAGTGCTTAGTTCGTTTGCCTCTCATTTATCAAAAAAAATCAGTCCGTGTGATTTACAGTGCAAATTTGATGTTGCATTATATCCTGTACTTCTGTTTATGTGCACAATATCAGCTCATCTCTGTGTTAGTTTGTATTTCCTTCAGAGTATGTATTTTAGTCTTTGCTGCATTTAGTGCTAGATTGATTTTATCACAAAGAAGTCACATGTTTTTATCTCTCCTGTGTATTTTGTCTGATTGCAAAGTCATTTTTTGTCTTTAACAGTTTCATTACTTGCATCATCACATAATATGAATAGCTTCATTAAAATTATGTTCAATTAACCTTATACCATAGATGCTCACAGCTGGGAAGCTTGAACAAAGGAGTATTTTTTTAGTACTTAAAAGAATAAATAAAGATTTATGTATCAAAAAGAAAAACATGCAAGGTCCTCAATGGTAACTACATTAATAGGGTCATTTTAACTTTAACTATGTATCTATCTATCGATCTATCGATCTATCGATCGATTGATCGATCAAGTTAAAATGACCCTATTAATGTAGTTACCATTGAGGACCTTGCATGTTTTTCTTTTTGATACATAAATCTTTATTTTGTGCACAGATCCTGCTGGAAGTCACGTAGGCATCGAGTTGTTATTTACAAACTGACTTTTTGTGAAAGCATTCATGGCATGTGCAGCTCAGGCTGATGGGATTTTCTCATCCTTCGTCTGAAGGTGTACCAGGAGGTCTGAGTGCCGACGGGCAGAGGAGAAGAATGGTTGGTTGTGGAGCCCCAAGCAGCAGTGTGTCAAGATTGTATCCTTCTCTCCTTCAAACCTT